GGTGTCCAAATCGGTGATTATATCGGTCGACGCGCTATACATTTTTGCTATAAAAGCCCATTAAACTACTCATTCTATACGAGTCAGAGTTTTCACAGCAAAATGTATAGAGTTTTTATAGCGCGTCAACCGATATAATCACCGATTTGGACACCTAGGACATTCCGCTGGATTACCGGACCTGGGCAGTCCTATTATACCATACTATACGAGTATAATTCACTCGGTTTTAATTGCAATTAGCGTGATCACTTCCCGTTCTTGCATTGTTAGCTAAATTTAAATGCAACGAGTGTAATGCATATTGGCGAAACTTTTATATTCATTCAAATATTCCATTTCCATCCACATTTACATAATAAAAATGTGTTATAAGATCACTTTTAATAGCATTGGTATCTATCATTGTTTTTATATATATAAATTTATATCAATTCATAGTTCATTACTATAATTAAAATTATTTGCAACTTTATTAATGACTATCCATAGACCGGGTGATACACTGCCGACACTAACAGAGCTTCTGAATGAGAATAAAGACGTTAATATAGAGCTGTCGAGGCATACGATATATTGTATGGACAACGAGTCGTTTAGATTTCTGTGTGCTATTCATAATGGTACGGAAAATATCTTTTAACATATTGCCTAGTTGATTGTAATGAGGACTGTGAAAATGAAACGTTGTTTAATTTTTTAACAAGGTATTAAATTTGAGCAAGATGATAAACATAATTTTTCGGTCTCATGGGACAAGTCGGTGGCCGAAACAAATCGACTGTTCGAACACATCGACGGCTTAAAGCCGCACAAAACCCGGGATAGTTTATCGCTGAATGACGCGCGCAAGGTTATTTTGAATTTGACAAAACCATTGGCTGACATTAGCAAGAACGTTCAGACAAATATAGCCATCATTAACGACAAAATGATTGAAATTACGAGCTCTAAGGAAGCTCAAAAAGGGTTACTTGACAAATTGTACGTGCCAATTAATGATTTGATGCCGGTGGGATTAAACTACCCGCGTACAGTTTGCACCTCAAGCACATGTGTCAAGTATCATAAAATACCGGAAACCAATGCTTCGAAAATCGATTATATCACTCACTGTCATAAGCATTGTGGTTTGACCGGGGTCAAACCTGAAACCTATCCAAATCCAGAGCTCCAACACTGTGCGGCAATGGATGCTAATTATAATTGCGAGGTTTGTCGATGTTCCTGGGACAAACATATGCACATTACTTATGAAAATAAGCTAGTACCAAAAAACGTGATCAATCAAACGACACGGGATTTGATAAACTCGAAGAAAAGCGATGAGGAGAAAGTGAAAGTGTTTATCGAGGAGTTGGACAATAAGGTGAAGGCATTGAAACAGGAAGAGGAACAGATCCGATCCGTGGCCGTCCAGTTCGGCATTTTCCTCAAAATGAATGCAATCTGTCCGTACAACGACTCGCTTAAGGATTATCTAATGGTACTCATCGGTCTGGAAAAGGACAAGGTATCACACTTAATGCTAGAGTATTTATTTTTAAATAATCAATGACAACGCTCAAATGTTTTAATATTAGTTCAACTTCAAGATTTTATGTAACTACATAATAAAATGTCAAATTTAATCTAGGTGAACGCTGGTGGTAACGATAAAACACTGAACAGTTTGAAGGCAATGCTGGATAAATATACGCAAGAAGTGAAAGTATTGGAGCGATCAGTATTGGAGCAATCAATATTGGAGCAATCGATGGCTAGCGGTGAACATGTGTCAGTGCTTTGCCCTGATGATATCAATAAACTGGTCCAATCCCTCTACAAGCTTAAGGAGAACGGCAAACAAATTCAGGATAATATGAATCTGTGTTCGGCATCGAAAGCCCGCATGCAGTCCACGTACACAGAGACTTATTACAACGCCCGACAATATAAACGGTCAGGCATTACAACACCCGGTTACAGGAGTGGTGGCTATAACGAGTCAGACAAATCGGTTAAGCAGGCAAGGTCCATTTTTAAACCGTGGAAATGGTAACCATGCACAGTAACCGATTATAGCCCTTCATAAAATGACTTAAAATACGTGAATTAAAATTTTGTTAATTAGATAATGAGACACTTGTCATATAATTTAAAAATAAATGTTTTTAGTAATAATTAAATACATTATGTGTCAGACACATTTTATGATAATTATAAAATGTTTTGCGAAAATATATTATTTATCTATTAGAATAAAATATACTGTATTCAAAATTTGTTTGTATTTGTCTCATTTGAATTTGTAAGGACTATTTATGAATAAATTCAATGTTTATGATTATTATATTTAGTATTTAATGCAAAAGTTAAATTCTCTAAGTAAAAATTGTATTAATATCTTAACCAGTTCTATATATTACAATGCCTTATAGTAATATACTAATAATAATATTATTATTATTATAATACTTATAATAATAACAATATACTAATATTTAATATTATTAACAAAAATATAAATATAAACAATATTTAATGTATATTTATAAATACTAATCAATAGTTACTATGTTTTTAGATTTTAACTGATAATTAGGTCTTATATTATTCTGTAATATAAATATAAATTATAAAGTTTTTCACTAATTAACTATAAATTAGTAATGACTTTACACTAATTAGTTTACTAAAATTCATTAAACTAATGTTTCTAATCACTAGCGTCCGGACACAAATAAATACCACTCACTGATAAATAACAAACCATTTATTTATATAAGACTTAGTATTTGATTACAATTAACACACAAAGAGATGTGCTCTCAATGCATGCCATGAATACACTGATTGTATAGCATAGAGAAGCCATGCCTTTAATGAAGTATAATAGAGCTAAAGGTTGGGATAATTTACAGTAATATTGAGATTAATAATGAGACTAATATTGAGAGTAATAACTGTTCAAGGTGAGAGTATAGATGACTATAACTAATCTATGAAATAAATATAGCTAAAGATTACTTACAAAATTAATAAGAATCTTATATTTATCTTATATGTATTTAACAATATTTTTTATTGTAACGAAATTAATAATCAAACTGCAACTTACTTATTGAAAAATATAAATAAACTCAGGAAATATTAATATAAAGAAGAATGAAATCACGTATAAATCCAATAAATCCTAATCGGATACTGCAAGGTGATTTAATTACACCAACAGCTGGGTCACAATTATATCAGATTGGCTTATTTGTTAATTATCATGAGGCTATGAATCGTAGTTATATGTATAATCCATATTTAATACATACTTTTCAGTTATTGTTTATAATGAAAACTGTGGTCACATTTGTATCACCAAAAGACTGGCGATTAATATTCATAATGTTTGGAGACTTCCCACATCTCATGAACATTGAAAAACATTTTGATTTAGTGCTCATATTTCTGGTATTATTAACTCATGCGAATTGTCTCATGTTTTTCTATACTAATAAACAGGGTGTATTACCAACATTTATGACTATATTTGATATGTTATCCGGAGGTGTATGTCCAGCAGATATTGGACTTACAGATTGTGAATTTATTTTAAAGTTTGCTATTAAATCTCGAAAAATATTTAAAATATGTCATTTTATTACCGATAAGAATATCATAATAGCGGCCATATTCTGGTCGATTCCGTACCTCAAGAATTGTACTATACTTGAGATGATATGCTATGGGATACCAAATATCATTCACTCAACACTAGTAGTTGTTTGTAATTTTAATATAAATGCGTGGCTTTTGGTTTATTTATATCTTATTTGCTATTATCTTAAATACAAACGATATGCCATTAATTCACAAATTATTAAACATTTAAAAGTTCGTAATTTTCATTATAGTTTTATTTTACAAAATATAAGTTCACTGACTTCACTATACAAAGAGATTACTGACTATAACGGGACGTATTGGTCTAAAAATATTTGTAACGTGTGGGCACTATTGGGTCTGGCTATTATTAATTTAATACATGTAATCATATTTCAAGACATGTCTCTAATTATACGTTTGATATTATTTTATTCGTTGTTTGGATTCATTACAATGTTTTCATTCATATTACACATGACTTCTGCTGTGTAATATCTTCAAATTCATAGCCTATATATAATCAGGGTTTTATTTTGAAAGAGCAGATATTGGGTTTCATTTCAAACTTCTAAGTATTTCTAAACAAACCATAGGATTATTTGTGCTATTTTATACCAAATATGACACTGGATTAAAAATTAAACCGTTTATAATACGTAACTTCATTGCAACTAATGTTTAAATATTGCTTTTAAAAATTTAATTTAAGTTTGAGTAACAATCATTGGCCTCTATTTGTGTTATAACAGCACATACAGTATACAATTTTTTAAATTAATGATTTTGTTATTTTTAAAAATATTTTTGTAATTATTTAAAAATATTTTTGTAATTATTTAAAAATATTTTTGTAATTATTTAATATTTTAAATGTTTTTAAATCAGTTAAAAAATTTCACCAAATTATAAATATACTGAAAGATAATTATATAAGTTACTTATATCGTTAAATTCGCTTTTATTTAGTTTACACAATCATTAATAAATGTTTTATATTTTTACTAATAACATTTAATATTTTCACGTGTACAAACATGTATTCTAATTTAAAATATTATATCACTATATTTATTGGGAAATGTAATAATAATAACCTTGTGCTTCGAAACTGATAAAATTTAAATATTATAAGTGAAATGAGTTTTTGTTTGTATTTTATGAATTCAACAGTACAATTTTATTTTCATTACATTTTAGAATAAATATATTAATATAAATTCAAAACACATACTGATTTCACATGTAATATTTTATTACAGATAGAGTTAACTGTTAACAATTATTAATATCATAAGAACTTTATATTAATTTCATGAGATCATAAATTTTTTGCCATTCTCAAAAACTACATGAGATTACAGATATTGCTTAATATTTAGGTGTTGTCTAGCTTAAATGTTTAATTATACATAGCAACATATATTATGCTAAATATCATATATAAATGTTAGATGAAATATTCAATCATAATAAAAATAAATATCTATTGAATTACAAATAACTGCTAAATTTTTGTCAAATAAAATTATTTTAATTCAAACTATTCATATCAGATATGATTACTGTAAGGTCTATTTCATGTTAAAACTTTGGTATGTAATTTGTACTTTATATATTTTGAACAATTTCAGAATTAATTATAATTATAATATTAATTTTAGTATTTTCCTATACGCAGATTTTTATAATTTACTTTTATAATTTGTAGTCTGTCTATTTAAATTAATGAGATCTAAAATATTATTTAAGAAACCAATTAAAATTAACTTAATTTTTGTATTCGTCAGTAATTTTACTTTTTGAATCTTATTTTAAAATATATGTTCAAATATGACAAACCCGGACTTTCAACACTGACTCATATAAATTATAAAAGTTGTTCATAGAAAGTGCTTGATGCTCTTATATTTCTTATAAGACAGAGATAAAAGTCCGGTTTTGTTATATTTAAATATATTTAATTAATATCTCTTAATTTTACATTTAAATTCATACAGTTAATATCGGTAATAGTTCATCAAAACGCTATCAAAATGGACCAGGATAAAAACACATTGATCCGAACAGCCATCGGACAAATGGCATCACTGGGCGAGCTATACGACGCCCGGACGGACACATTCTGCGCCATTTCGGCCCTCAAAATAGCACCAGAAAAGACGGACGCCGTCACCATACAGGACAACCCCTCCATCGACCTCCAGTACATACACACCGACACCTTTTCGGACAAATTTGACAAATTAGAGATAAAGGCCGGCCTTAAGGTGAGTATATTGGCCGGACTGTTCCAGTTGGAGGGAAGCGGCAGGTATTTGGCGGACACGAAAAAGAGCGCCCGAGCCGTCCGCTCGTCCCTCTTGTATAACATTCAGACCAAAGCCGAGAGACTGAACCTATTTAACGACGAACTCGCGGAGTGTTTCGCGTTGGACGCCCTCCAGGCCACCGCTGCCACCCATGTGGTGGTTGGCATCGATTGGGGCGCCAACTCCATGATCACTATGGAGTACAGCAACAGCGAGAATAAGGATGTTAAGGAGATCGAAGGCGCCATCCAGGTAATTTTGATTTTAATTAAACGCAATTTTTAAATATTAAACTGACCAATGGAAGGGAAATAACTAAACCGAGAAGTTAAGCATGGTAATTAAAGTAATTTTAAGTAAAGTGATTAAAATAAGAAAAGTGCTATAAAGATTTTTTTCCATATTTTACTTTATTAATTCTGACGACTGATACTATTTAAAATATTTAATAGTTAATATATTTAATGCAGTATAATATTAAAATATAATTTGCTAATATTTAATACATACTAACTTAATATAATATTTATCACTATCCAGGGTGAGTTAAAGAAGTTTGGCGCTAATATAAGTGGAAAAGCGAGCGGTGATTACGGGAGCGGTCAGGACAGCAAACAAACCAATTATTCGTTACACATATTCGGCGACATTATGCCGACCGACGAGCCGTTGCCGCAAACAATTGAGGAGTCGTTGGCGCTAATGAAAAGAATGCCCTTGCTCGTCAGACGGCCAATGGGGGCAAGGGCAAACCGTTGAAGTACACGCTCGTGCCATTGTCAACCCTAGCCAGTCAATCAAGCACACCCAAAATGGCAGACAAAGTGATCAAGTACATTGACGAGCAGGCGATCGTCCGGTGCGTCCAACTGTTTGATAGGATCGCGGCGTCGAAGCAACGACTCTACGATTTGTATGATTGCGTGAATTCCCATAAATATTGCGTTCCCGCGGATCGGGTGCGCGGTATAGGCGCCCAAAAGGATCAATTAGACTCGGATGAGGCCAGCCTTAGGTAATAATTATTATATTTTGTACAGATATTTTCATGAAATTTTCAAAATGTTATATGAAATGTTAGATTTTAGTAAATTTTATGTGAAACAACATGTACAACTACAGTATTACAGCGATACAGTATTATGTTATGAGATATTTATTTAAATTTTCAAAACTAATCACAGATCAAAATTAGCCGAATTATTGGTGGAGGTGCGCTCCGGGAGGGCTGGCGGTGACAAACTGGAAAAGCTCATTAGCGACTCAAACGAGGGCTCACTTTCGGAAAATAAAATACAAAACTTTATTAATAGTAACGAAGATATTGCCGACAAAATAACTTACGCCAAAATGTTACAACACGAAGGCGTTATATATGTGGGAGCCCCCGGGTATGGCCAGTCACTGGAAACGGCTAAAATGGAACGCCTACAATCGGAAATTTATATTTTGTTCTGGGCCAGTTTGTCGACTGACACAAAGGATCGAGATTGGACTGATAATAAGCATCACTTTTTACGACTGGCTAAACAAAACAATGACCTTGATAAAGACAGTAAAAAGGATATGACCAGATTTATAGCTGCCGATTTGGATATGAGACCCGAGCTAAATGACCAGGAACATGTTGCATCAGGAACACGAATTTGTCTGTTTAAGAATGGCAAATATATTCACCAGAATATATTGCTCGATTATATTACCAATAATGACCGGTGTTTGATTAAGCCAACTAAGCCGGTTCAATTAGTAGTGAATAAGCCCAATAAGCGTGTCATTTTGGAGGTAAGATGTCCCGGCTCGTTATCAGGCTATTGTGATTCAAAGGACGACCATACCTGGCACTGTTACAAATGCGACGAATTAATTGAGCATGGTTTCGATGGCTACTTCTATTGTGCATGCGGTAAAACGTCAAATAAATTTTACCAGTATAAATGCAATAATGATAAGCACGGTGGTGATTTTTTAAGTTTCCCAGGTAAATTTGTTTTAATAAGTTATACTGTATTATGACTTATATTATAATTTTACAACCTTGAAATTTAAATATAAAAATAGTGTATTTAATATATATTTTAAAGGTTTGCTATATTTAAACACATGTCAAATTAATAGATAAAGGTTTGGCAAAACTATTAGAAAAATTGCGACCAATGAAAGAGATGAATATATTGATTTTGGGCGAAACTGGCGTGGGTAAGTCCACTTGGATAAATGGCCTGGTCAATTATATGACATTCAAGTCATTGGACGATGCCGAACAGAATAAATCGCTGAGTCTAATAGCTTCATCATTTACAATTACCGATGATGAAAACTATGAGCAAGTTGAAATTAAGATTGGCGACGATAAGAATGAGGTAATGGCTGCCGGACAGTCGGCTACTCAAGAACCAAAAGCCTATGTATTGGAGTGGGGTGAGTTATTGCTACGAAACCTATATTTCAAATATTTTAATTACAAATAAAATATATATTAAAATTCATTGAAAATCATATTCTTATGGTAATAAATTCAACTTTTTAAAACACACTGCTCCATTAATGAAGGTAAAAAGCACGTTAGACTCATTGATACGCCTGGCATTGGAGACACGCGTGGCCTCGAACAGGACAAAGAGAACTTCGACGCCATATTGCGCTACATCTCAAACCTGGATGAGTTGCACGGCATATGCATACTGTTGAAGCCCAACAACGCCCGACTCACTGTTATGTTCCAGTTTTGCGTCAAAGAGTTGTTGACACATCTGCATAAAAGTGCAAGCAACAACATCGTGTTTTGCTTCACTAATGCGCGTAGCACGTTTTATAGGTAGGGTAACCAGGGATCAGCATTATGCAATTATCTGTCAATTAAAATTTCAGAGTTAATATGAGATGATTTTTTCAAACTTCCACTCAAGTTATAGTGGGATCTCAAGAATAATTCTAAGATTATAATTAAATATTTGCTTAAATGCAAATGTGACTTTTTATAGCAATGCTTGCAAACCTTGTTTATATATGAACCAATCTCGTGTTCATTAATATAATTATAATTATTTTAATTTCTATATCCATAGACCGGGTGATACACTGCCGGCATTAAAAACGCTCCTGAAAGAGAATAAAGACGTTAATATAGAGCTGTCGAAGCATACGATATATTGTATGGACAACGAGTCGTTTAGATTTCTGTGTGCTATTCATAATGGTATGGAATATATTTTTTTAACAACTCGCCTAGTTGATTATAATAAGCACTGTGCAAATAAAGCGTTTACAATTTTAATTAGGCATAAAATTTGAGCAAGATGATAAACATAATTTTTCGGTCTCGTGGGACAAATCGGTGGCCGAAACAAACCGATTGTTCGAACACATCGACGGCCTAAAGCCACACACGACCAGGGATACTATATCGCTTAATGACGCGCGCAAGGTTATTTTGAGTTTAACAAAACCAATGGCCGACATTAGCAAGAACGTTCAGACCAATATCGCCATCATCAATGATAAAAAGGCAGAAATTACAAGCTCAAAAAAGGCCCAAAAAGAATTACTTGGCAAATTGTACGTGGCCATTAATGATTTGAAGCCGGTGGAATTAAACTATCCGCGCACAGTTTGCACATCAAGCGGGTGTGTCGAGTATCATAAAATACCGGAAACCAACACCATTAAAACCGATTATGTTACCCACTGTCACGTACATTGTGGCCTGAGCGGGGTCAAACCCGAAACCTATCCGAATGCAGAGCTCAAAAATTGCTGGGCTATGATTGCTAATAGTTATTGCCGGATTTGCCGATGCTCCTGGGACAAACATATGCACATTACTTATGAAAATGAGCTGGAACCAAAAAACGTGATCAACCAAAGCACACAGGATTTGATAAACTCGAAGAAAAGCGATGAGGAGAAAGTGAAAGTGTTTATCGAGGAGTTGGACAATAAGGTGAACGCATTGAAACAGGAAGAGGAAGAGATCCGATCCGTGGCCGTCCAGTTCGGCAGTTTCCTCAAACGGAACGCCATCAGTCCGTACAACGACTCGCTCAAGGATTATCTAACGGTGCTCATCAGACAGGAAAAGGACAAGGTATCACATGTAGTGCTATAGTAGTTTACAATTAATTCAAGTTCAAGAATCTATGTTGTTATATAATAAACTACTAAAATGTAATCTAGGTGTCCGCTGGTGGTGATGATAAAACACTGAACAGTTTGGAGGCAATGCTGGCTAACTATGCTGAAGAAGTGAAAGTATTGGACAAATCCATGGCCAGCGGTGAAGATGTGCCAGCTTTAGGCCCGGATGATATCAATAAACTGGTCCAATCCCTATATAAGCTTAAGGAGAACGGCAAACAACTGGAGGACAGTATGAATCTGTGTTCGGCATCGAAAGCCCGCATGCAGTCCATGTACACAGAGACCCATTACAGCGCCCGACAATATAACCGCTCGCCACCCGGTTATAACGAGCCCGACAAGCTGGGTAAGCAGACAAAGTGGCCTTGGACAAAACCGCTTACATGGTTTAAACACAGCGATTACAGTCTTTCATACAATGACTCATAATAAGTGAATTAAACTTTTGTTAATTAGATGATTAATATCGTAAAACAATTATCATATAATTTTAAACGAACAATTTAGGGTAATAATTTAATACATGATGTGTCAAGCACATTTAATGATAATTATAACAAAATGTTCTGCAAAAATGAATTTTTTACTTTCCTATCAAAATGTATTCAAAATTTGTTTGTTTTTGTCTTAATTGAATTTGTAAGGACAATTTATGAATAAATTCGATGTTAAAGATTATTATATTTAATATTCAATGCTAACAATGCGTTAACGAGAATTGTTATTCAGTTAATTAAATAAAATAAACTGATTTATACTCGTATGGTATGGTATAATAGGACTGTCCAGGTCCGGTTATCTAGCGGAATGTCCTAGGTGTCCAAATCGGTAATTATATCGGTCGACGCGCTATAAAAACTATACTTTTTGCATTGAAATACACTCATTCATAGCATTGAAACTCTGACTCGTATAGAATGAGTAGTTTAATAGGCTTTTAAAGCAAAAATGTATAACGCGTCGACCGATATAATCACCGATTTGGACACCAAGGACATTCCGCTAGATTAGCTGACCTGGACAGTCCTATTATTCCATACCATACGAGTATAATCCAGTTTATTTTATTTAATTAACTGAATAACAATTCTCGTTAACGCATTGTAAGTTAAATTCCTTTAGCAAAAATTTATTAATATCTTAATTGAGTCATATAATGATCCTACGTATTTTGAATATATTATTCTGTACCAAAATTATTTTTAGCATTTAATTGATAATTAGATCTTATATTATTCTATAATATAAATATATATTAATTGATTTTCACTAATTAACTATAATAATTTTTTTATATGATACTAATAAGTCATTAGTAATGACTTTATACTAATTTGTTTACTAAAATTCATTATACTTATGCTTCTAACCTATAAAATACAATATACAGTATAATAGCATTTCTAATGAATATTTTAATCATTTCTAGAATATATATATAATTATTCATTTAATATTAAATTAATAATTAAAGCAATATTATTTCTATAACAATATACCAGTACATATATATATTGCTTTAATTGTTAATTTAACATTGAATGAATAATTTTTTATGAAACTTATTTGAATCTAAATATTAATAACAAAAATGAAATCTTGTATAAATCCAATAAATCCTAATCGGATATTGCAGGATCATTTAATCACACCATCAGCCAGTTCACAATTATATCAGATTGGCTTATTTGTTAATTATCATGAGGCTATAAATCGGAGTTATATGTATAATCCATATCTAATACATACCTTTCAGTTATTGTTTATAATGAAAACTGTGGTCACATTTGTATCACCAAAAGACTGGCGATTAATATTCATAATGTTTGGAGACTTCCCACATCTCATGAACATTGAAAAACATTTTGATTTAGTGCTCATATTTCTGGTATTATTAACTCATGCGAATTGTCTCATGTTTTTCTATACTAATAAACAAGGTGTATTACCAACATTTATGACTATATTTGATATGTTATCCGGTGGTGTATATCCAGCAGATATTAGACTTACAGATTGTGAATTTATTTTAAAGTTTGCTATTAAATCTCGAAAATTATTCAAAATATGTTATTTTATTACTGATAAGAATATCATATTAGCGGCAATATTCTGGTCGATTCCGTACCTCAAGAATTGTACTATAGTTGAGATCATATGCTATGGCATACCAAATATCATTCACTCAACAATAGTAGTTGTTTATAATTTTAATATAAATGCGTGGCTTTTGGTTTATTTATACCTTATTTGCTATTATCTTAAATACAAACTATATGCTATTAATTCAGAAATTATAAAACATTTAAAAGTTCGTCATTTTCATTATAATTTTATTTTACAANTATAAATGCGTGGCTTTTGGTTTATTTATACCTTATTTGCTATTATCTTAAATACAAACTATATGCTATTAATTCAGAAATTATAAAACATTTAAAAGTTCGTCATTTTCATTATAATTTTATTTTACAAAATATACGTTCACTGACTTCATTATACAATGAGATTACTGACTATAACCGCACGTATTGGTCTAAAAATATTTGTAACGTGTGGGCACTATTGGGTCTGGCTATTATTACTTTAATACATGTAATCATATTTCAAGACATGTCTCTAATTATACGTTTGATATTATTTTACTCGTTGTTTGGATTCATTACAATGTTTGCATTCATATTATACATGACTTCTGCTGTTAATTATGAGTCAAATAAAACATATAAATTGCTAAATTCATATCAATCGGTTAAAAGTTGATATCAATTGATAATCAAGCAGATTTGCGGTTGTTTAGTCATTAGTCGGTTGTTTGCGAATAATATTCATTATGTTTGCAGACTTTCCATACCTTATGAACATTGAAAAACATTTTGACTGTGTTAATATTAATTACATTATTAACGCACGTTAATTGTCTGATATTTGTCTACACTAACAAACTTAGCATAAAGCCTATTTTAATTAATATATTTAATGTACTATCCAGTGGCGTATGTCCAGCAGATAGTGGACTCACAGACATTGAATTTATTGAAAAATTTGCAATTATATCGCGAAAACTATTTAAATTTTGTTAATTACTGATAAGACTTTAATATTAGATTTGATGATCNACCTTTGTTCTGACCTGTGCATATGACCTTTGAGTTTGTCCCGTAATTTTAATGATTCTATTAGTGTCGTTGCCTCACTGTTACGGACGCGGAGGCAACCAATTGTTGCGTTTGAACCAAAGGGGTCGACTGGGACTCGGGGAACGGTGTGTCGACGCCAATAGGGATAAAATGACACTTATTCGCTGCAAATTGGGAACAGTAGACGGCCCCTGGAGTTACGATAAGCATACCAAACAAATGAAATATAAGCGTAAGCGTAAGAGTCTGTGCCTGGCCTGGGAGGGCGACCAGGAGAGGGTACACCTGACTAAGTGCCGCACCGGCGACCGGTCCCAGCGCTGGATTTGGAAGCGACTAAAGCCCCGGCTCTGAGCCCTCAGTCATTACAATATTTTACTATCAATTGTCACATCATATCGTCTCTTATGTCATAACAAACAAAAGATCGGTTTTTATATATTTTTTGATTTCTATTAAAAGTATTTATTTATACATAATTTGTTTATCCGGTTAGGATTTATTGGATTTATACGAGATTTCATTTTTCTTTTTAAAAGTATTTGGACTCAAATATTCTTAATAAAAAGTTATTCATTCAATGTAAAATTAATAAATAAAGTGATGTTATCTTTATAACAATCTATATATTCTTAGAGTAATTAAAATATTCATTAAAAATACAATAATATTTTTCGTAGATTAGAAACATTAGTTTAATGGATTTTAGTAAACAAATTAGTGCAAAGTCATTAGTATCATATAAAAAATGTATAGTTATTAGTGAGAAACAATATAATATCTGTAGTGGCAATATGAAAACAACACATTGTCATACTTTTAGATATCGATAGTAATCGAGAAACATTAATTATAATCATCATACTACGTGGTCATAGTCATAAACTTTGAAACTTAGCTTGCTTATTCATACAAATATATGATTTAATATTCAAAATAGCATATTATGTTTAAGTATTTATGAGAATTTTCATTAAACAAGTTTTTGTTTTTATTAGTTTTAATTTTTGATACAGATTTAAAATTATTATTCAAATTATTCGTCATTAAATTAAATTAATAAATATTAATAATTAAACAATAGATGAAAATATATTATAAACAAAATGCAAACAAGTTTGGTATGCCATAGCATATAATTACTATTAGAGTACAATTCTTGAGGTACGGAATCAACCAGATCATCAAATCTAATATTAAAGTCTTATCAGTAATTAACAAAATTTAAATAGTTTTCGCGATATAATTGCAAATTTTTCAATAAATTCAATGTCTGTGAGTCCACTATCTGCTGGACATACGCCACTGGATAGTACATTAAATATATTAATTAAAATAGGCTTTATGCTAAGTTTGTTAGTGTAGACAAATATCAGACAATTAACGTGCGTTAATAATGTAATTAATATTAACACAGTCAAAATGTTTTTCAATGTTCATAAGGTATGGAAAGTCTGCAAACATAATGAATATTATTCGCAAACAACCGACTAATGACTAAACAACCGCAAATCTGCTTGATTATCAATTGATATCAACTTTTAACCGATTGATATGAATTTAGCAATTTATATGTTTTATTTGACTCATAATTAACAGCAGAAGTCATGTATAATATGAATGCAAACATTGTAATGAATCCAAACAACGAGTAAAATAATATCAAACGTATAATTAGAGACATGTCTTGAAATATGATTAC